AAATTTAACCCAACCCACGATTTTTTGGCCCTCAAATTTTAAAAGTTTTTAGAAATATATGGGGGGGCGAATTCGACCCTTTTTAATTCTTTTAGAAGGCCTGTTTTTTTAACCCCCTTTTATGACACCCCGCAAAAAAACACTTTCTGCACCCCCACCACACTCCATTACTGGGTTTTCCCTTTCCCCCTTTTTTTGTTCCCCCCAAAATTTAGGGGGTTTACTGTAAGTTATTTACCCCCGGTTGACCCCTTTAAAACTGTAAAAATAATTTTAGGTCCCTTTACTTTTATGGCCCGGGGAAGTTGCTGGTCTTTTTGGGGGAAAAATCAGTTTTTAAAGAAAGTTTTTTTGTCTGAAATTGTTGGGTTAATGCCAAAATTTGGGAGAACCCCTTTAAATTTTTTTTTTTTGTTTTTTACATGGATTTGTATTTTATGATGTTTTTCATAGAGGTGTGATCCGGTTTTTTAATGTTGGGGTTAATGGAAAAAAGGGGTTATTTTTTATAGCCGGACTTGAGTCCGAAAATGGAAGTACAATGCCTGCACTCTAAAAGAGGGGGTTCCCGGGTAATTTGGGAGTTTGGAGGGATTTTTTTTTGTATATCGTATATAAAAGCTTTTTAAACTGGTGTTTCGGGCCCTCTGCCAAAAAAAAGTTTATTTGTGTGATTTAGGGAAAGTGGGTTTAATGAAGGAAAGAAAATATTTTTTTTTTTTGGGGGGTTTTCTTTCTTTTTGGGTCACCCTGCCTCGGTGGGAGACGGCCGACTTGTTAACCCTTTCAGGGTCGCCAGGCCTTCTCCGAGACTTGTTCTCAGGGTTGCCCAAATTTAAAAAAAAAAAAAAAATTTTTTTTCTTATGAAAAGATAGAGAATCTTTTCCCGATCATAATGACACCAAAAGTATGAAATTTGATGGAAAACTTACAGAATTATGCTCTCGCGAAGTTAGTGGTCTCGACAATGTTTACACATCGGCGATTTTGCCCACTTTGAGCTCTATTTTTGGCCAATTCCAGTGTACTAGTCAACAAAAATCATAACTATTTCGCTAGAACTCCATTTTTTCTATTGAATGAATGCGAGAAACCACCCATTTACCGATTTCAACTATCCAATACAGTGGTCAGAATTTAGCAATTTTGCCAATTTCACACAAACTTCAAAAGATGCCAATTTCTGAATAGGGTCCAGAATAAACAAAAAAGACATTCCTGGCACTAAAATAACAAGTTCTCTGTTCGTTAGTCACATCCCCAGGCCCCTCTTATATTTCTTTGGCTTTCCACTTTGAATTTTTATTCTTACAAAAAATAGAAGATTTACTGTTATGCAGACTACTGCATTAGTGTAGAAATGGTATAAATAATATCAGCGCACTTGTGAAAGAATATTACTCACCAGTTGATGTGTATTGAACGCTTGGCATGATTTGTTTACTTTTGAACTTTGGTAAAAATTTAACATTTCTGCTACTTTGAGCTCAATTTAAAGGTATTATTGATTGTAAAACCAGTCAAAAGCATCTCAATTTCTGTAATATGTCTTCCATTCTATAAAATGAGACCAGGAAAACTAGAATACAACCATAAATACCATACGAAAATGCAATGCAAAGTCACTGTTTTAATCCAAAAACACGGTCATTTTTTTTTTTTTCTCATTACGCACTGTGTGCTGCAGGATTTTTTTTTATACTGGGCACACTGACCACATAGACCCATTCTTTCATATGTAGGCCTACCAGCTTTCACTAGATTTGAGGGCGCTAGAATTTAAGCGTACTAGTACATACGTCAAAAACCATGGGGTGTAAGCCATACTAGTACGGCCGAAACCCTGAGAGGGTTTAAAAAAAAAAAAAAAAAAAAAATCATAGTATCACAGGGATGGACTTGTCAGGTCATAAATCATCTACGGAATGGGAGGTAATTAGGTTTGAATCGAGGAAAGAGATTTTTTTTTTTTTTTTCTCAACAAGTCGGCCGTCTCCCACCGAGGCAGGGTGACCCAAAAAAAGAAAGAAAATCCCCAAAAAGAAAATACTTTCATCATCATTCAACACTTTCACCACACTCGCACATTATCACTGTTTTTGCAGAGGTGCTCAGAATACAACAGTCTTGAAGCATACACACATAAAGATACACAACATATCCCTCCAAACTGCCAATATCCCAAACCCCTCCTTTAAAGTGCAGGCATTGTACTTCCCATTTCCAGGACTCAAGCCCGACTATATGAAAGAGATGTCTGCTGCTATTCCTCTGACCAAGTACTCTACCAGCATCATGGCATCTCTGTATCCCTATTGAAGGGTTCTTGATAACAGTAGTACCCTTTATTTTTTTCTTCTTTCAACAAACCAGCCATATCACACTGAGGCAGGGTGGCCCAAAAGGAAAAACGGAAGTTTCTCCCTTTAACTTTAGTAATGTATACAGGAGAAGGGGTTACTAGCCCCTTGCTCCTGGCATTTTAGTGGCATACAGAGGAAGAATTCTGTTCCACTTCCCCATGGAGATAAGGGGAAATAAACAAGAACAAGAACTAATAAAGAAATGGAAGAAAACCCAGAGGGGTATGTGTATATATATGCTTGTCTATGCATGTGTAATGCGACCTAAGTGTAAATAGAAGCAGCAAGATGTACCTGAAAACTTGCATGTTTATGAAACCTGTAAAGCAATTACAAGTTTGTTTTACTCACTTGGCAGGACAGTAGTACCTCCCTGGGTGGTTGCTGTCTACTAACCTACTACCTAGGAGTAGTACCCTTTACCAGCATCAAATCATCCTTGTACCCCCCATGAAGGTTCTCGACATTACAGTACTTCTACATCTTTAATATTTACTTTCCAGTTCATGAAACCTGGTTGGCAACTGGGCTTCACGAAAGATGATCCCCAGGATCATTAACAGATATTTGGGGGTATCTCTGCATGTAGGAACACTTGAAGAGTGTTTGGGAGTTGTCATGATGCAACAACTTATTGAATTTCCAGAATAAGTTAAAACAACTTATAAACGAGCAGTCTCATTTATGTCTGCTCGCATGATAGTTCCAGACTTGACCTTATTAACACAAAATGCGACACTTGTTTGAAGGCTTGATAGGAAAAACAGTGATGTGACAGTTTTTTTTTTTAACACACTGGTCATCTTCCACCGAGGTAGGGTGACCAAAAAAAAAAAAACAAAGAAAAAGAAATACATCCACTATTATTTATTCAGACACTATCTTGTCAGAGGTGTGAATATCACAGTTCAGACGATTCTTAACCGTAGCATTTTAACCCCCTTCCTTTACAGTGCAGGTATTGTATTTCCTATCTCCAGAACTGAAATTTGTGGTATAAAAAATCATTGTTAATTGAGAGCAAGGTACAGTCAAACCTTGGTTTTCATATGTCCTAGTTTTCATAAGATTCGGTTTATGACAATTTTTTTTTCAAAATTTTGTCCCAGTTTCTGTACATCCGCTCGGTTTTGGTACAGTTGAAAATGGTCCATACCAAACTCGTCCACCTGTCTGCATGACTCTGCCACTCATTTACCAGAATCGAGCATCCACACAAAGCATCCCATGCATTTGTGATTCAGTCTACCTTTGTTTCTCTTTGAACGAGCATCACCTCACGCGCTCATCCGAAACATTTTGTAATAATCCATTTTTTTGTGCTTGTTTATTGAATGCGACTGCTAAATAAGCCACCATGGGACCAAAGAAAGTTCTGAGTGCCTGCCCTTTGATAAAGAAGTTGGGAAGAAGGCTTGGAAGACCAATTGTTGGAGGTGTTTAGTTTCATCACAGTGAAGTTCTTTCCCACTAATACCACTCCTCTCATCCAGCCGATGGACCAGCAGGTCATTTCAAACTTAAAAAATTCTACACCAAAGCACTGTTTCAAAGGTGCTTTGAAGTGACCTCGGACATTGAATTGACCCTAAGAGTTCTGGAGGAATCACTTCAATATCCTCAATTGCATAAGCCTTATAGATAAGGCTTGGCAGGGAGTGACTTCCAGGATGATGAACTCTGCTTGGAGAAAATTGTGGCCAGAATGTGTCCTCGAGAAGGATTTTGAAGGGTTTGAGGCTGACCCTGATGACCCTACGCCTGTTGTGGAATCTATCGAGTCTGGGGAAATCCATGGGGGTTGGATGTGAGTGGCCAGGATGTGGAAGAGTTGGTGGACAACTACAGGGAAGAGCTAACCACTGAAGAGCTGCAAGACCTTCAACTGGAATAGCAACAAACTGCAGCTGAGGAAATTCCTTCAGAGGAGGAGGAAGAGAGAGGGGAGAATGTGCCTTCTTCAGTCATTAAGGACATATGTGCAAAGTGGAATGGGTTCCAAAGTTTTGTGGAGAAATATCACCCTAACAAAGCTGTTGCAAGCTGTGTCTGCAACATGTTCAATAACAATGCCTTATCCATTTTAGGCAAATCTTAAAAAGACATCTCTGGACAGATTTTTTTGTGCGACAGGGGTCCAGTGACTCTCAAGCTGGTCCTAGTGCCAGTAAAAGACAAAGAAGGGAAGTAATCCCAAATAGGGCCTTGATACCTAAATTCCTTATGGACAGGGATTCCCCTTCCAAACAATAACCTCTCCTCCTCCCTCTCCCCTCCTCACCATCTTCCATATGCCAACAAGAGTCTTCAATAAAGGTAATAGTGATATTAAATGTTCATTTATCCATTTCATTAGTCATTTATATTTATTTCTCATTGTTTTCTGTATGTAAAACTATAGTTATTCTATAAAATTTAGTTTTTGTTAATATTTTTGGGTGTCTGGAATAGATTAATTGGATTTACATTATTTCTTATGGGAAATATTGCTTCAGTTTTCGTATGATTCTGTTTTCGTCAGACTTTTCCAAATGGATTAATCACAGAAACCGTGGTTCCACTGTATATATGTTACCATATGTAGCTCCCTTTGATTAACAAGACTGTTGCTGATTACTAAATATTTTATCCCATAGATTTGCAGAGAGCTTAGTATTCTCCTCTCTCATCTCTGCTGTGGATCCAGTGGCAGTTCTGGCCATTTTTCAAGAGCTTGGGGTAAATAAAGACCTCTACTTCCTCATCTTTGGCGAGTCACTCCTCAATGGTGAGTTTGTCTGTTCTAGAATGCTTTTTTTTAATTCCTTTTTTTATGGTAGTAGGTTGGTAGACAGCAATCACCCAGGGAGGTACTGCCGTCCTACCCAGTGAGTGTAAAATGGAAGCCTGTACACATATTTGTTTTGCATGATGATAGGATTGCTGGTGTCTTTTTTTTCTGTCTCATAAACATGCAAGATTTTAGGTATGTCTTGCTACTTCTATTTACACTTAGGTCACACTACACATGCATGTATACGTTTATGTATACATACTCAGATGAGTTTTCTTTGATTTTATCTTAATAGTTCTTGTTCTTTTTAGTAATCTTTACAGGAAAAGGGGCTACTAGCCGATTGTTCCCGGCATTTTAGTTGACTTTTACAACACGCATGGCTTACAGAGGAAAGATTCTTATTCCGCTTCCCCATGGATATAAAAGGAAAAGTAATAAGAACAAGAACTATTAACCCTTAAACGGTCCAAACGTATATATACGTTCACGTGTGTAGTGCCCCAAATATTTTGAGAAAAATTTTTTTTATAGGAAAAAAGAGCATTTGGTACTCAGGCATCCCCAATTTTTTTCATATGGTGCACACTGAATGCACACGCCCATTCTGTCATGTCCAGGTAACTCAGGCCTAACGTGCCAATGTTGAATGAATGACAAAGGAAACGTATATATACGTTTGGGGCACTGTGCAAGAGAGCATATATATACACGTTTGGACCGTTTAAGGGTTAAGATAAAATCAAACAAAACTCAGATGAGTGTGTATAAATAAACATGTACATGAATGTGTAACGTGACCTAAGTGTAAGTAGAAGTAGCAAGACGTACCTGTAATCTTCCATATTTATAAGACAAACAAAAGACACCAGCAATCCTACCATCATGTAAAACAATTACAGGCTCTCATTTTACACTCACTTGGCAGGACGGTAGTACCTCCCTGGGAAGTACAATGCCTGCACTTTAAAGGAGGGGTTTGGGATATTGACAGTTTGGAGGGATATATTGTGTATCTTTATATGTATATGCTTCTAAACTGTTGTGTTCTGGGCACCTCTGCAAAAATAGTGATTATGTATGAGTGAGGTGAAAGTGTTGAATGATGAAAGTATTTTCTTTTTGGGGATTTTTTCTTTTTGGGTCACCCTGCCTCGGTGGGAGATGGCCAACTTGTTAAAAAAAAAAATTCTTGTTCTTGTTGCTTTTCCTTTCATATCCATGGGGAAATGGAATAAGAATCTTTTCCCCGTAAGCCATGCATATTGTAAAAGCCAAAAAGCCAACTAAAATGCTGGGAGCAATGGGCTAGTAACCTCTTTTCCCATATAGCTTACTAAAAAGAAAAAGAAGAAACTGTAAAAGTGGGACATTTGAATGTGTGTGGATGTTGTGTGAATGATAAGAAAGAGATGATTGTGGATCTTATGAATGAGAAGCTGGATGTCCTGGCTTTAAGTGAAACAAAGCTGAAAGGGTTAGGAGAATTTCAGTGGAGAGAAATAAATAGGATTAGGTCAGGGATTTTTAATAGTTATAGTTAAGGAAGGAGTAGCTGTGATGTTAAAGGATAAGTTATGGCAGGAAAAGAGGGAATATCATTGTATAAATACAAGGATTATGTGGAGTAAAATAAAGGTTGGATGTGAAAGTGGATTATAGTAAGTGTTTATGCACCTGGAGAAAGGAAAAGTGTAGAGGGGAGAGAGAGATTTTGGGAAATGTTGAGTGAGTGCATGGAGAGTTTTGAATTAAGTGAATAAGTACTTGTGGTTGGGGATTTCAGTGCTAAAGTGGATAAAAATGTTGTGGAGGGAGTAGTAGGTAAATTTGGGGTGCCAGGGGTAAATGAAAATGGGGAGCCTTTAATTGAACTAAGTGTAGAAAGAGGTTTGGTAATAAGTAATACATATTTTATGAAAAAGAGGATAAATAAGTATACAAGGTATGATATAGGTAATGTATTGGTGGATAAAAGATTGATGGGTAGGCTTCAGGATGTACATGTTTATAGAGGGGCACTGGATATATCAGATCATTATTTAGTTGTAGCTACAGTTAAAGTAAGAGGTAGATGGGATAAAAGGAAAATGCCAACAGCAAGTAAGAGAGAGGTGAAAGTTTATAAACTAAGGGAGGAGGAAGTTAGGGTGATATATATGCAACTATTGGCAGAAAGGTGGGCTAGTGCAAGTATAGGTAGTGGGGGAGGGTTGATGAGGGATGGGATAGTTTTAAAAATGCAGTACAGGTAGGCCATCACTAATCCGGCATCATTGGGACCTGTAATGTGCCAGATTAGTGAGTTTGCCGGATTAAAGAGTGGTTAAGTTAGAATACACCTAATTAACCTATCAATGGAGACTCGGCTACATCTCCTCATTTTCATCACTGCTTTCTCCTCTACTGGCTTGCTGCTGTAGATTTGCAACCATTTGCACAATTTCTGAGTCGGTATAATGATGGGATTTGAAATTATGCTATCCGAAATTAGTGCCGGATTACTGATGGAACCGGATAACTGATTGCCAGATTAGCGATGGCCGACCTGTATTACAATGTGAGGAAGAAGTTTGTGGCTATGGGAGGGTGGGTGCAGGAGGAAAGAGGAGTGATTGGTGGAATGATGAAGTGAAAGGTGTGACAAATGAGAAAAAGGTAGCTTATGAGAGTTTTTTTTACAAAGCAGAAATGATATAAGGGCAGAGTATATGGAGAGTAAAACAAAGGTGAAGAGAGTGGTAAGAGAGTGCAAAAGGAGAGCAAATGATAAGTGGGAAAGGCACTGTCAAGAAATTTTGCTGAAAATAAGAAAAAATTTTTTAGTGAGATAAACAGGTTTAAGAAAGCCTAGGGAATACATAGATTTGTCATTTAAAAACAGAATAGGGGAGTTAGTAGATGGGGACATGGAGGTATTGGGTAGATGGCGGGAATATTTTGAGGAACTTTTAAATGTCAATGGAGAAAGGGAGGCAGTAATTTCATGCACTGGCCAGGGAGGTATAACATCTTTGAGGAGTGAAAAAGAGCAGGACGTGAGTGGGGGGGGAGGTGCGTGAGGTATTACGTAGAATGAAAGGGGGTAAAGCAGCTGGAACTGATGGGATCATGACAGAAATGTTATAAGCAGGGGGAGATATAGTGTTAGTGGTTCATATTTTTGTTTAATAAATGTATGAAAGAGGGGAAGGTACCTAGGAATTGGCAGAGAGCATATATAGTTCCTTTATGTAAAGGGATGGGGGACAAAAGAGATTGTAAAAATTATAGAGAAATAAGTTTACTGACTATACCAGGTAAAGTGTATGGTAGGGTTATTATTGAAAGAATTAGAGGTAAGACAGAGTAGGATTGCAGATGAACAAGGAAGCTTTAGATTGGGTAGGGGATGTGTAGATCAAGTATTTACATTGAAGCATATAGTATATGTATGTGAAGAGTATTTACATAAAGGAAGGGAAGTTTTCATTGCATTTATGGATTTAGAAAAGGCATGTGATAGTGGATAGGGGAACAATGTATCAGATGTTGCACATGTATGGAATATGTAGTAAGTTACTAAATGCTGTAGAGAGGTTTTATGAGGATAGTAAGGCTCAGGTTAGGGTGTGTAGGAGAGAGGGAGATTACTTCCCAGTAAAAGTAGGTCTTAGACAGGGATGTGTAATTTCACCATGGTTGTTTAATATATTTATAGATGGGGTTGTGAAAGAAGTAAATACTAGGGTGTTGGGGAGAGGGTTGGGGTTAAATTATGGGGAATCAAATACAAAATGGGAGTTGACAGAGTTACTTTCTGCTGATGATACTGTGCTTTTGGGAGATTCTAAAGAAAAGTTGCAAAGGGTAGTGGACGAGTTTGGGAGTGTGTAAAGGTAGAAAGTTGAAAGTGAACATAGATAAAAGTAAGGTGATGAGGGTATCAAACGATTTAGATAAAGAAAAATTGGATATTGCATTGGAGAGAGGGAGTCTGGAAGAAGTGAATGTTTTCATATATTTGGGAGTTGACTTGTCAGCAGATGGGTTTATGAAGGATGAGGTTAACCATAGAATTGATGAAGAAAAAAAGCCAAAAGGTGCATTGAGGTATCTGTGGAGACAAAAAATGTTATCCATGGAGGCAAAGAAGGGAATGTATGAAAGTATAGTGGTACCAAGACTCTTGTATGGGTGTGAAGCTTTGGGGGTGTAGCAGGGTGCTGCAGCAAGGGGGGCCGGGTTATGGAGCGTGTGTGGAAATTAGGAGGAGGTGTGGAGTTACTAAAAGTACTAGTCAAAGGGCTGAAGAGGGGTTGTTGAGGTGGTTTGGTCATTTAGAGAGAGTGGAACGAGGTAGAATGGATCAAAGTAGAATGACATGGAGAGCATATAAATCTGTAAGGAAAGGAAGGCAGGGTAGGGGTCATCCTCGAAAAGGCTGAAGGGAAGTCGTAAGGGAGGTTTTGTGGGCGAGGGGCTCGAACTTCCAGCAAACGTCCGTGAGCGTGTTAGATAGGAGTGAATGGAGACAAATGGTTTTTGGGATCTGACAAGCTGTTGGAGTGTGAGCAAAGTAAAAATTTTGTGAAGGGATTCAGGGAAACTGGTTAGCCAGACTTGAGTTCTGAAAATGGGAAGTACAATGCTTGCACTTTAAAGGAGGGGTTTGGGTTATTGACAGTTTGGAGTGGCTGTCTAAACTGTTGTATCTGGGTGCCTCTGCAAAGATAGTGATTGTGTATGAGTGATGGTGAAAGCATTGAATGATAATGAAAGTTTTTTTTTTTTTTAGGGGGGGTTCTTTCTTTTTGGGTTTTTCTTTCTTTTTTGGGTCACCCTGCCTCAGTGGGAGATGGCCGACACGTTAAAAAAAAATATATTTTTCAAAATATTTTCATATTGTATGCTGTACTTAAATTAATATTTAACCCCTTGACTGTCACAACCCCCAATCCTGAGGTGTCTCCTGGTGTCGCAAAATTAAAAAAAAAAAAAATTACTTTTTCTTCTGAAATGATAGAGAATCTTTTCCCAATTGTAATGACACCAAAAAATGAAATTTGAAGGAAAACAGATGGAATTACGCTCTCGCGAAGCTAACGACCTCGGCGATAATTTACAAATCGGCGATTTTGCCCACTTTGAGCCCTATTTTCGGCTAATTCCATTGTTCCAGTCGACCAAACTCATAGCTATTTCTTTAGAACTCCATTTTTTCTATCGATTGAATACAAGAAACTGCCCATTTACTGATTTCAACTACCTAATAACGTGGTCAGAAATTTGCAATTTGGCCAATTTCACTAAAATTAAAAAATATGACTATTTCAAAATAAGGTCCAGAATGAACAATGCAGACATTCCTGGCTCTAAAATAACATTTTCTTTGTTAATCAGTCATGTCTCCAAGCCCCTCTGATATTACTCTTGCTTTCTATTTTGAATTTTTATTCAAACAAAAAATAGAAGATTTACTGTTATGCAAACTACTGCAATACTGTAATATATATGTAATTGTACAAATAATGTCAACCCATTCATGACTGCATATTAGAATGGCTAGTTGGACATGTATTGGACAATGACATCTTATGTTTACTTTTGAACATCGGCAAAAATAAACATTTCCCGTACTTTGAGCTCCATTTCCAGGTTTTATAATAAAACCAATCAAACCACCTCTATTTCTGTAATATGTTTTCCATTCTATCAAATAAGACCAAGAAAACGAGAATACAACCATAAATACTACGTATATGAAAATAGACTACAAAGTCGGCATTTTAATTGAGAAAAAAAACGTTGAGTTATTTTTTTTATATGGTGCACACTGACCACACAGACCCATTCTCTCACATGTGGGCCTATCAGCTTTCTCCTGCTTGATTTGAAAGCCGCTAGAATTTGAGTATGTATAGGTCAAACATGGTACCTCGTAAGACGTATATATATGACCGAAACAGTCAAAGGGTTAAGAGAATTATTTTTAAATGTGCAAGTTTTGTTATTGATTATTTTATCACATATGGAGATGAACATAAAGGAAATTTCATCTTTCTCATTACACCTTATCATTAATATATTCTTAATAGTGCAAAAACCCACCTAATGAAAATAAATATACTGTACAGTATATTTTGAATGAAAGGCACAATCCGTAATTGGAAATGCTGTCATAAGTTTCATCCTTCTATGTGCGGATTATTTGTGTTCAGTGTACAGTGGTACCTCGAGTTTCGGCCATAATTTGTTCCGAAAGGCTGTTCGAGTGCTGTTACAAAACGAATTTGTTCTCAAAAGGAATAATGTAAATTACATTAGTCTGTTTCAAGACCCAAAAAATACACTTACAAAAGAACTTACAATAATACGCTTACATAATTGTTCGAGTTGAGAGCTGTTCGAAACTCTGGGTACCACTGTATTTTGGCCTGTAGGTCTGCTGGTATCTACAACTCTGTGCTCTTCAGTGTGTTGAAGACGGCATCCAGGTTGGTTTATTTATGCCACAAACTAGTGGTTATAAGTCAGTTTAAGATACTAATGATAAATACAAATGGTTTTCCAGTTCCTTTATCTTCAAAGACCTGTCATTTTGTTTATCACTTGAGTCATTCTTATAATCTCAGAAAATGTTACTGTAAAGCACTTTTAAATGACAGTATTTATTGCTCTGAGTCATTGTTGGTATACAGACACTCCTAACTTTATGGCCTACATGTTTAACAACCACGTGGACTTACAACCAGCTCTCCAACGAATTGATATTGTACTCTGTATGAGAACTTTTCCAATGTGGCTGTATTAGAACTAGAAGGTATGAACCTGGAAAGTGAATGTGGCTGTATAGAACTAAAGGTTTCATTTAACCTGAAAGTGAATGTGCTGTATTAGAACTAAAGGTAAATAACCTGAATGAATGGTGAAAATAAATATGACTGGACAGTATATTTTTGAATGAAAGGCATAATCCTATTGGAAAGTGCTGTCATAGTTTACATTCTATGTTGCAGTTAATTGTGTCAGTGTACTAGAGGTACCTCTGATGTCGGCCGATAAATTTGTTCCGAAAAGGCTGTTTCGAGTGCGTATACAAAACGAATTCTGTTTCAAAAGAATAATGATAAATTGAATAGTCTGTATTCAAACCTAAAAGTACTAACCTAAAAGAATTACAATAATACGCTTACAAATTGTACGAGTGAAGGCTGTTTAGAAACTGGGTTGAACACTGTAATTTTGGCTGTAGTCTGCTGGTATATGCAACCTGTGCTTTCAGTGTAGTAAAGACTGCATCAGGTTGGTTATTTAGCACAAAACTAGTGGTTATAAGTCAATTTAAGATATAATGAAAATACAAATGGTTTTGACAGTTCCGTTATCTTCAAAGGAACTGTCATTTTGTGTTATACCTGAGTCATTCTGTATAATCTCAGAAAGTTAACTGAAAGCACTTGTAATGACAGTATTTATTGCTCTGAGTCATGTTGGTATACAGAACTACCTAAATTATGGCCTACTATTTTAACAACACGTGGACTTACAACAGCTCTCCAACGAATTGATATTGTACTCTGTATGAGAACTTTTCCAATGTGGCTGTATTAGAACTAGAAGGTATGAACCTGGAAAGTGAATGTGGCTGTATTAGAACTAGAGGGTATGAACCTGGAAAGTGAATGTGGCTGTATTAGAACTAGAGGGTATGGACCTGAATGTTTAACACGCTTCACGAAAGTGGAATGGTTGTTGTGAAATATATGAAGACAAAAAAGAAAATTACAAAGCAGACCACACTACTGGGATTATTTTTTAAAGCTACACCTCGAACCCCTACCCCCTACAAGCCCTTCCATTTCCTCGTCCTCATCTCTCTTACCTGGGCCCTCTACAGCTCCTGATAACACTGCTGATAACTCCGATGATGATGCTCCTCACTTATCAACCAGTTCACTTAACAACCTAGTCAGAGGAACAGAACTCGGTCATTAAGTAAGGAGTACCTGTACTAGTCAGCAGATGATATAGGTGTATATGATGACTTCAATAATGATCTGACCATACCTTACAGATGGTGTGACGGTGGTGATGTACAATACGATGCAGGCCTTCATGTCCATGAGTATGGTAACAGCAGGCCAGTATGCCCTGGCCATCATTGCGTTCTTCATTGTTGTGTGTGGAGGCATCTTCATTGGCATCTTCTTTGGCTGCCTCACAGCCCTCATCACCAAGTCTACAACAGATGTTAGAGGTTTGTGTTTTTTTATTATTGCACCATTGTTATTGATGAATTAGACACTTGGGTGTCTTTATTGAGGAAATGTTTTGCCATGCAGGGGCTTTGTCAGTCCTAATCAAGAAAGAATGGTGAAGATCAGAAGGAGTCTGAGGTAATCAGTCCCTCAACCTGGAGTCAATATAAACATGTGTCTAATTCATCAGCTTGTCGGTTCTCTGAACCATTTATCCATGCCATTGTTATTGTATTCTTAGGAACCTCGAACCATAATTTTATACAGTGCCTGGGAATGGGAAGCAAGGGGTTTTTGGTCCAAGGAAAGGGAGAAAGCCCCCATTTCCTTACAAAAGAGCCCCCACGGGCATCAGGCTTTAGAAGTTTTGTCTTGTAACTAAACAATTTTAAAACCTTTTTTTTAAAAAGTAGCTATAAAATTATTGTTTTTTTGACACTATGGGGGGTTTTTCTTGATGCGGGTGGGGGGGCCTGATACAAATAATTGGACCCTCCTTAGAAAAACCTGTTTGTCTTTTTCCCCAAACCCAGGTATGTAAACCCTAGATGATGATCTTGCTACTAAATACTACTACGACAGTGGACCCCCGGATTAAGACTCTCAGTTTTAAGTAATGTTTTTGTGTCAAAATTTTGCCCGGTTAACACACGAACTCGAAAAAAGCATTCGTCCTGAATGTGTCCGCGCCCAGACACCCGGAACCCCATGTAAACCGTGTGCCTTTGTTACCAGCCAGTGGGGACATTCCCCAGCATACAGCGATACTTTTTGTTTATTCCTTTTTTTTTTAGTGCTTTAACTGCAAAATAAGCCCCATGGCCCAAATGAAGCTTCTAGTGCCCCCCTTTGGTAAAGAGGGTGAAAACCTATAGAAATTTAAGAAAAAGTTTGTAGAAAGATGCAAAAGTGGTGGGGTAAGGAGGGTAGTGATGGTGGTGAGGGTGGGAGTATGGGCCAACAGGTCTGCTGCAGTGTTCCCGCTTTCTTTTGTACACCCCAGGGTACTTCTCCCACCAAAACCACCAGGGTACTTCCCCACACACACCAGCCAGGGTACTTCTCCCACACACACCCCCAGGGTACTTTTCCCCCACACACCAGCCAGGGTACTTCTCCCACACCACCAGCCAGGGTACTTTCCCACACACACCACCAGGTACTTCTCCCACAAAACACCCCAGGGTACTTTCCCACACCACCAGCCCGGTACTTCTCCCACACACACCAGCCGGGTACTTCTCCCCCCCCCCTCTTCTCACCCCCCCTTCTTCCCTCCCCCATCTTTCCCTCCCACCCCCCCTACTTCCCCCACCCCCACCTTTTTTCCCCCCCCCCCCTACTTCCCCCCCCCCCCGGGGCTTCCCCCCCCCACCTGGGTCTTCCCCCCCCCCCACCTATTCCCCCCCCCCCTTTTCTTCCCCACCCACCCCATACTTTCCCCCAACACCCCCCTTCCCCACCCACCCAGCCAACTTCCCCCAAAAACCCAGCCGGGGGATTCCCCCCACCCGCGGGTACTTCCCCCAACACCGCAGGGTCTTCCCCACACAAACAGGGTACTTCCCCACACCCCCGCAGGGGACTTCCCCCACACCAACCGGGGACTTCCCCACCCCCCAGCAGGGTACTTCCCCACACACCAAAAGGGTATTCCCCACACACCAGCCAAGTATTCCCCCCCCCCGAAGGGGACTTCCCCACACACCAGCAGGGTACTTCCCCACACACCAGCGGTCTTCCCCAAAACACCAGCCGGGGTTTTCCCCACACACAACGGGGACTTTCCCCACACACCAGCAGGTACTTCCCCCCACCCAACAGGGGCTTCCCCACACACCAACAGGGGACTTCCCCACACACCCGACAGGGTACTTTTCCCCCACACCAACAGGGGCTTCCCCCCCCACACCAGACGGGATTCCCCCCCACCCGAAGGTACTTCCCCACACACCGACAGGGTACTTCCCCACACACCAGACAGGGGACTTCCCCCCACACCAACAGGGGACTTCCCCCCACACCAACAGGGTATTCCCCACACACCAACCAGGGTACTTCCCCACACACCAGCAGGTACTTCCCCACACACCAGACAGGGGGACTTCCCCACACACCAGACAGGGTACTTCCCACACACCCGACAGGGACTTCCCACACACCAGACAGGGGTTTCCCCACACACCCAAAGGGGACTTCCCCACACCAGACAGGTCTTCCCCCCACACCCAAAGGGGCTTCCCACACACCAACAGGTACTTCCCCCCACACCAGACAGGGGACTTCCCCCCCACCCCCAAAAACCAGACAGGTACTTCCCACAAACCCGACGGGGGCTTCCCCCCACACCAGCAGGGGGATTACCCACAACCAGCAGGGTACTTCCACACACCAGACAGGGGTACTTCCCCACACTAAAGAGGGACTTAAAGAGGGTGCCCCAAAGCTTTTTTAACCCGAAAGGTTCAAATAGATCTTTTAACGGGAGGTTTAAACCGCGTTCCCAAAACCTCAGTTTTCCCCCCTTTTTCAAACCCGGGGAAAAATACCCACACACCAGGCCGGGAAAATAACCCAGAAAAACAAGCTTCACAAAATTTTTAGCGAACTAGTGTTTAACTTTTGGGGGCCTATGGCAAAAAAAACGGGAGTTTTAAGGACCCTTTATGATCTTTTGGAGGGGTCCCCTTTTAAAAAATTGTACCCCCCCCTCCCCCCCCCCTGTTCAGCTCTCAAATAAGCCAAAAGAAATTTTTTTAAATTTTTATCCAGTTCCCTTTTCTCTAGTTCAATGATAAAATAAAAAACCTTTTTAAACTTTTGGGTTCTGGGAATATTAAAGGATTTCCATTATTTCTTTGGGGAAAATTAATTTTTAATAATAGTTCATAAAAACAAAACCCTGGAAAAATTGTTTCCCGGGGCCCCTGTATTTTGTAAAAACTTTTTACTGGGGATATAATACCTTTTTTATAAAATCTACAACAATACTCTTAAGTTTTAGTTCGTACTATTACTTCTAAAGCTTTCTATTATTTTTCACAAAAACCTAAATGTAGGTGTCAATGCCCAATCAGGGCATTAGGGGTGATCCAGAAAAAAAAAGGAGGAGGAGGGTAACTTTTAATTTCTCAGGTCAAGAGCCCTTCACCAGTTTCAGGGCACCTCTGTTGAAGGGATTTGTTCTTCCATATCGTTTTATTTTCTCACTGCTGAAATTCTATCTTAATGAAAATAAAAATCACAATTTATTTAGAAACATGCAGAGAGGTTACAAAATATGCATTTCTAGTTTATTTAGTTACAGTTATGAGGCAAATATAATATGATGCAATTACATTTGTGTGTTCAAAAGAAAGTCACTTGTTCAAAATATTTTGGGCAAACTAACTCTAAAACTTATTGTCTCATTTCATGTGCTGCAGTTGTTGAGCCTCTGGCAATGCTGGGTCTGGCCTACCTTAGTTACCTGACAGCCGAGCTGTTTCATTTCTCAGGCATCATTAGGTGAGTCATATAGCACCCATTTCAAGCATTCCAAATTGCATGATGTAAATGTTTCATTGACAGACCTTTGATGAGTTTCAAGAGTTTTTCTGCTCCCAGAGCCCATCCTTGAGATAAAATTTCATTCGGATTTTTAACCCTGGAGGATTAGCCACCCAGGATAACCCAAAAAAGTCAGTGTGTCATCGAGGACTGTCTCTTGTTTCCATTGGGGTCCTCAATCTAGGCCCCCAGGATGTGACCCACACCAGTCGACTAACACCCAGGTACCTATTTGCTGCTAGGTGAACAGGACAGTAGGTGTAAAGAAACACGTCGAAATGTTTCTACCCCACCGGGAATTGAACCTGGCCCCTCTGTGTGAAGCGAGAGCTTTGCCAGCCAGACCATGGCGTCACCCTTGTCAGGCTCATTTCCATGTGTAAATACATTTCTAAAATTATTAATTTCATGTAGTGCCTGGAAAAAGGGATGCGTGGTAAACAGATTTGGTGTGAGAAAAGGAAGGGTAGCTCCAATATCTTGAATCAAGAGCTCTTCATCAGCATTAAGGCATTCTTCCCTTTTGCCTCACACACTGAGTGTCCATGGTTCAGTCACTGGCATGGGTGGAAATGTTGGGCATGTTTCCTTAAACCTGCTGTCCCTGTTCACCTAGCAGTAAGTTGGTATGGGCCGCATCCTGGGGAACAAGATTGAAGGACCACAATGAAATAATAAAACAAACAATCCTCAATGATGCAATGATTTTCTTGGGTTATCCTGGGTTTTTAACCCTCCAGGTTAAAAGTCCAAACAAATATTATCTTTCTTTATGATGCTTGGCATTCATGGAGTCAGTAAAACAAAAGATACAATGAGTACTATGTAACTCAGTGAGAGGATTTGAACCCAAGGCAACCAGTGCTCTCACCACAGGTCATTAACACTTGTTTACAGCCTTGTGATTGCGATTGTTTAGTCATTTTATTCCAGTTCACAGTACAGCCTCTCCTCACTTAACAACAGAGTTCTGTTCCTAAGTCTGCATCTGCAAATGAATTGTTGCTAAGCAAGGAGCATACTATAATGGTAGTGGGTTTGTGTTAACAATCTTTGATATTGTTTTAATGTCACCTTTGCACCATTTATAAAATTTTTAGTATATTTTTAAATGTTTATACAGTAGCATACTGTATATTGTAATAAACAGAATAGAGGAATCAGCTCTTAACCCCTTAACTGTCCAAACGTAGATCTACGTTGTTACCGCTAGTACTCCAAACATAGATCATCATTTTATTTTTCCTGCCTCCAAATTTGGCACGATCGGCCTGAGATGCCTGGCCAGCATAGAATGGGTCTTAACACTTGGTGTGTGCAGTTTTAAAAAATCTGGAACCACTTAGTATACCTTGTGGGAGCACCAGTTCAATTGAGCACCAGCTAGAGCAAACAGCACAGCAAGTGCCTGGGATTCACTGATGTCATGCCCATAATGCTATGCATATAAGTGGCTTTGGCATGCTGCTCTTACCTGTATTTTTTTTTGTACCTCTGTATGTATGCTCAAATTTCTAAATAAATAAATAAATAAATATTGTTACATGCCCCATAACACACATTAACACTTCCCTTTTATAAGAAAAGTGATGTTGACTCCGAGTTTAGTGGCTTTGAGGTGGATGTGGCCACAAGTGGTCGAGGAAATATCAAAAACCTCGATAATAACCCATGTGCAACATTTGTGCAACAACCTTTCAATTTTGGCACCACTGTGCACACTGACCACACAGACCCATTCTCTCACATGTAGGTCTACCAGCTTTCTCCTACTAGATTTGAAGCCTCTAGAATTTTGGCTTATTAATACATCGCCAACACTGGCTCGTAAGCCGTACCTATACGGCACTGACAGTGAAAAGGTTAAGGGGTTAATATACATTATTTAGGTATGCATACTGGTCAGAGAGCCCATCAGAAGTTTGAGTTGTAGGGAAATGAGTACGTTGCTAAGTGAGGAGAGGCTGTACTGTAATAGTACAATATTACAGTTGTTTAGAATTGTGTTATCGTGATGGTTTACAGTAGTGTTATATTGGTGATCTGTGATTCTTATTAGTACAATTCTTTGCAATTTTGTTTTTACAATAGTGTTATTTTGAGTGTTTACAATAGTGTTATTGCTGTTGTTTGCAATCATGTTATTGTTTACAATAGTGTTATTACAATCGTTTAGAATCATGTTATGATTGCTTACAATCGTGTTATTACAATTGTGTCAAGTACAATTATTACAGTTGTTCAGTAGATTTCAGTCTGACACTGAGGCCCTCCTTAGGTGCTAGTCATCTCTTCATGTATGCAGTAGTATAAAGAACATAAAGGCACAATACCGTGATTGGAACAATACACAAATAACCCACACACAGGAGGGAGGAGCTTACGATGACGTTTCGGCCATATTCTGAAGAGGCAGGGCGACCTAAAATGAAAAACTAAAGTTTATCTTAAAATTAGTAATGTATACAGGAGAAGGGGTTATTAGCCCCTTGCTCCTGGCATTCTAGTTGCCTCTTACGACACATATGGCATACAGAGGAAGAGAAAACATGTGAAGAGAAAAGCTTTCTTATTTCTTTTTTAGGTCACACTGCCTTAGTGGGAGACGGCCGGTGCTTTGAAAAATAAATTATATGATTTGAGATGTATTTACTTATGCTCCAGTAATCTGCCAAACTATATTTTATATACTTGAGATAATATTTCTGTCTTTCAGTCTCATTGTTTGTGGGCTCCTCCAAGCACATTATGCCTTTAACAACATTTCACAGAAGTCATACACATGTGTCAAATATTTCACCAAAATGGCCAGGTAAGTTTACTTTTTATTCTAAGGCATTACTTTTTCTGTTTATCATATATTTTTTTCATTTTATTTAAATATTTAAACAGCATTTCTGATATTTGCTGTTTAGACTGTAGTGTAAATGATGGTGAAAGTGTTTCTTTTTTAGGTCACCTGCATTGGTGGGAGATGGCCAGTGTGTTTAAAAAAGTGTTATATACAGTGGACCCCTGGTTATCGGACAATTCGGTTATCGGCGGGTTTTTTGGCGCCAGGTTATCGGCCGTTCGCTCGGTTATCGGTGGTTTTGGACGCGTCCATCCGCCAGCTGGGGCAGCTTGCGCTTCAGGTTGGCTTTGTCTCTCGGTGGCTGAGGAGGCTTCTGCTCATACATCCAAACGTTTCACTTGTTTACCATTGTTTTTAGTGGTTTTTCTTGCAGTGCAATTGTGAAATAAGTAACCATGGCTCCAAAGAAAGTTCCTAGTAAAGTTCCTGTGGTAAAGAAAGTGAGAAACACCATGGAATTTAAGCGTGAAGTGATCAAAAAGTTTGAGAGTGGTATGAAGGTGATGGAACTTGCCAGGATGTACAGCAAGAATAAGTCAACAATTACATCCATCCTGGCAAAGAAAGAACAAATCAAAGATGCTAATGTTGCAAATGGAGTAGCTTTTCTAACTAAACAAAGGACACCGATAATGGAAGAGATGGAAAAGTTATTATTATTGTGGATTAAGGAAAAAGAATTAGTGGGAGACAGTGTAGTGGAGTCTACTATTTGTGAGAAGGCAAAGCAGTTGCATGAGGATCTTGCAAAGAAAATACCTGGAACAAGTGTTGCAGTTTGTGAATTTAGGGCCAACAAAGGATGGTTTGATAGATTTAAGAAGCGTAGTGGCATACACAGTGTTGTAAGGCATGGTGAGGCTGCAAGTTCTGACAAATGTGCAGCTGAACAGTATGTTCACGAATTCCAGGACTATGTGAAGGCTGAAGGATTTGAACCCCAACAAGTTTTCAATTGTGACGAAACAGGCCTGTTTTGGAAGAAAATGCCAAAGAGGACCTACATTACCCAGGAGGAAAAGGCACTGCCAGGGCACAAGTCTCTGAAAGACAGGCTTACTCTTTTGTTGTGTGGTAATGCTAGTGGGGATTTCAAAGTGAAGCCTTTACTTGTGTATCACTCAGAAAATCCCAGAGTGTTTAAGAAAAACAATGCCATGAAGAATAGATTGTGTGTGATGTGGAAAGCTAATCATAAGGCATTGGTCACAAGGCAAATTTTCAAAGAGTGGGTTAATGATGTGTTTGGCCCAAATGTGAAAAAATACTTCTTGGAAAATAAATTGCCACTCAAGTGCCTCCTGTTACTGTACAATGCTCCTGCACATCCTCCAGACTTGGAAGACCAAGTGTTTAGGGACTTCAGTTTTATAAAAGTGAAGTTCTTGCCTCCTAACACCACTCCTCTCCTCCAGCCCATGGACTAGCAGGTCATTTCTAACTTCAAAAAATAACTACACAAAAGCAGTGTTTAAAAAGTGCTTTGAAGTGACCTCAGACACTCAGTTGACCCTAAGAGAGTTCTGGAGGAATCTCATCACCATCCTCCATTGCATAAGCCTTATAGGTAAGGCTTGGGAGGGAGTAACTTTCAGGACTTTGAACTCTGGTTGGAGAAAACTGTGGCCAGAACTTCAACTGTGTAGTAGCTTCAACTTGAACAGCAACAGACTGCAGCTGAGGAACTTGCTTCAGAGGAGGAGGAGGAAAAGGGAGTGAAGGAGGTGCCTTCTTCAGAGATTAAAGAGGTGTGTGCAATGTGGACCAGGGTGCAAACTTTTGTAGACAAACACCACCCTGACAAAGCTGAAACAAGCCATATCTGCAACATGTTTTGTGACAAAACCCTGTCCCATTTCAGGGAAATCTTAGAGATGCCAGAAACAGAGCACTCTGGACAGTTATTTTGTGAGACAGGGGTCCAGTGACTCTCAAGCTGGTTCTAGTGGTAGTAAAAGACAGAAGGGAAGTAACCCCAGAGAAGGCATTACTGTCTAAAGTCTTCATAGAGGGGGATTCTCCTTCCAAACACTAACTCCTCCCTCTTTCCTCCTCCCTACCTTCCAGAAGCCAGCATTAGCCTTCAATAAAGGTAAGTAATACTTACGTAACTGTAAAAAAAAAAATTTTTTTTTTGTGAATATTTTTGTTGGGAACGAATTAATTTTATTTTCGTTAATTCTTATGGGAATTATTCATTCGGTTATCAGCCGACCTTCAGGAACGGATTGCGGCCGATAACCGGAGGTCCACTGTATGTGTCTGCTGCTTTGTCCAGTAACTTTGTTAGTGGAAGGAATCCCATAGCTTGTGCCTTGTGCATACATGATTGTACGTAGCATAAGATTCTGTCCTTGCATCAAGTTATTGCTTTTACTGCTTATTGATGACAAGTTATTAGATAGTAATCACTAAGTATTTTTATATTTGCAGATTCCAGAATAATTTTAGGACAGATAAACCAACAAAATTGAACACCAGTAACTCTGGTTTTTCTTAAACATGATTTAGGATTTGGCCAAAAAATAGAATTTGTAAATTTAACAAAATCTGCTTCATAGGATCAAGAGATAGGACAGAGGGCAAAGAGATTACAAGTGGCCCTCACTTACACAGCAGGTTAGGTCCTGGGCTACTTACACATATTACTTACCTTAAAATATTTTTGTCCTTAGCTTATAGAGAGTGGTGAATATATTTATTGTAGGAAGTCTGAATAAAATGAACAAAATGTTAAACTTCACATAACAAATCAATCTTTCTACACTTGTGTTTGAATTTCTCTGAAGTGTGAATCCAAACCAACCCATTTTTTTTTTTTTTTTTAAGAATTTTCAAATTTACTTTGTATTTTTCTTGTAAAATTTAATTTTATGAGGGCAAAACTTCTTGATTGTTACAAGTTTATTGTTTCTGTATTCACACTCGTACAACTAATTATGCTCATGGGTTTGTAGCTACAGGAGCAGAACTATGCTCATTACATCTCATCATTAGTAATTAATGATAGTGTGAAAGATGGTGAAAGTGTTTCTTCTTTTTCGGGTCACCCTGCCTCAGGAGATGAACAGTGTTTAACCCCTTGACTGTTTCAGCCGTATATATACGTCTTATGAGCCATGTTTCCGACGTCTTAATACGTGTAAATTCTACCAGCTTCAAATCAAGCAGGAGAAAGCTGGTAGGCCTACATGTGAGAGAATGGGTCTCCATGGTCAATGTGCGCAGTATAAAAAAATCGGGGAACCAGTGGTGCATTGTGGGAACGCTATTTCAGTAGTCCTTGTTCAGCATGCCTAGTGGTAAGAAATATATGACTCCCTGGCAAATTTGGGCCTCTTCTCTTCCCAAGTGATAGCTCTAACACAGATGGAAGTGTCTCTGAAGATGAATTTCATGGTTTTGAGGAGTTTGTGACTGAAAGCAATTCCCAGGATACCAGAAGAAAGGAGGAGAGAGAAAGAAATGAGAGAGAAAGGAGGAGAAAGAAAGGTAGGTAGGTAGGAAGGACAGATCGGTGGGGAAGAAGGCATGGAATCCCATGGGTGCTGACAGGCAGTAAGGGTAGTGAGTGATGGTATAATATGCCCTTTTGACAGCTGCCACACCCTGACTCAGCACATTTAGACCCCCCCCACACACACACAACGCATACACACATATCGAGCTTCCAGAAGATAATAGTAGTTCTATGAAAGTGTCCAGTGATTATATATGTGCATATACAATAGAACCTCGGCCTACGAATACCCCACCATGCAGATTTTTCAGGATATGAACCGTCATTTGGTCAATTTTTTTGCTTCTGGATACGAAGGAAACTTCAGGATGCGAACTTCCCCCTGTGCTTATGTGAGATTCTAAAGAAAATTTTTTTGCTTCTGGATACGAAGGAAACTTCAGGATGCGAACTTTTCCCTGTGCTTATGGGAGATTCTAAAGAAAAATTGCAAAGGTCAGTGGATGAGTTTGGGAGGTGTGTAAAGGTAGAAAGTTGAAAGTGAACATAGAAAAGAGTAAGGTGATGAGGGTATCAAATGATATAGATAAAGAAAAATTGGATATAAGATTGGGGATTAAGAGTATGGAAGAAGTGAATGTTTTCAGATACTTGGGAGTTGACGTGTCGGCGGATGGATTTATGAAGGATGAGGTTAATCACAGAATTGATGAGGGAAAAAAAGGTGAGTGGTGCATTGAGGTATATGTGGAGTCACAAAACGTTATCTATGGAGGCAAAGAAGGGAATGTATGAAAGTATTGTAGTACCAACACTCTTATATGGGTGTGAAGCTTGGGTTGTGAATGCAGCAGTGAGGAGGCGGTTGGAGGCAGTGGAGATGCCCTGTCTAAGGGCAATGTGTGGTGTAAATATTATGCAGAAAATTCAGAGTGTGGAAATTAGGAGAAGGTGTGGAGTTAATAAAAGTATTAGTCAGAGGGCAGAAGAGGGGTTGTTGGGGTGGTTTGGTCATTTAGAGAGAATGGATCAAAGTAGAATGACATGGAGAGCATTTAAATCTGTAGGAGAAGGAAGGCGGGGTAGGGGTCGTCCTCGAAAAGGTTGGAAGGAAGGGGTAAGGGAGGTTTTGTGGGCGAGGGGCTTGGACTTCCAGCAGGCGTGCATGAGCGTGTTCGATAGGAGTGAATGGAGACTAATGGTATTTGGGACCTGACGATCTGTTGGAGTGTGAGCAGGGTAATATTTAGTGAAGGGATTCAGGGAAACTGGTTATTTTTATATAGTCGGACTTGAGTCCTGGAAATGGGAAGTACAATGCCTGCACTTTAAAGGAGGAGTTTGGGATATTGGCAGTTTGGAGGGATATGTTGTGTATCTTTATACGTATATGCTTCTTAACTGTTGTGTTCTGAGCACCTCTGCAAAAATAGTGATTATGTGTGAGTGAGGTGAAAGTGTTGAATGATGATGAAAGTATTTTCTTTTTGGGAATTTTCTTTCTTTTTGGGTCACCCTGCCTCGGTGGGAGACGGCCGACTTGTTGGAAAAAAAAAAAAATTATTTCTTTGCAAAGAGTTACAATGTGTTTACACATCATATGATTGGAGCAAAGAAAGCCACTATCATGCCGAGGCATTTCAGGCAGACTTAACCCAATACTTATAGACTACTTAAGTTTAGAAAGGTGAAAAGTGTACTAGTAGTGGTTACCAATGTTTTGCTGATGGTGGTGCCAACTACTGGCAGCCTTTTGAAGTTTCTCCTTACTGTTGTTATTATTATTATTATTATTATTATTATTATTATTATTATTATTATTATTATATTACATTGTATTATTATTATTACATTATATTATTAATATTGTTATAATAATTATTATTAGTATGCATGTGGTGATGGGTTCTTGACCTATGGAATTGGATCTGTGCTCCAGTTCCCTAAATTAATAATAATAATAATAATAATTATGATATGTATGTAATAATACATACTAAGAATAATAATAATACAATATGCTAATAGTAATAATATGTTGTCAGTTTTAGACTTTTTTTTTTTTCATATTTTTGTGCCAAATGCTTCAAAATAGAAATTGGTAGCCCTCTGGATGGCTGTAGGTACAGCTGCTACGACCATGGCTATCTCAGTGAAAACCAAGAGTCAAAAGGAAGAGGTATGCCGATCTGAGTGATCGCAGCAGACCCTTGGGGATGCGTAATTTTGTCTTATATTTTACAAATTTCTTACACAATGCCTCACCCAAAGAGACAGTATTTGCGTATAATCAACAAGAAGTGATTAGAAACTATGAAAAAAGCTAGAGAAACGAAGAAGGCAACAGCATAGTGGGGCAACTGGCTGCCACTGCCACCACTGTGGCCACCCCTGTGCCAACACCACTGTGGCCGCTGCCGCTGCTACCACCACCACAGTGGCCACAGTGATCATGTCTTCACCTATATATACATCTGTCTTGACCACACCTGTGGTTACATATGTGACAACCTCACCACTAATCATAGATAAACACAAGCTAGGTGTGGGGTTAAGATAAGATAAGATAAGATAAGATTTCGTTCGGATTTTTAACCCCGGAGGGTTAGCCACCCAGGATAACCCAAGAAAGTCAGTGCGTCATCGAGGACTGTCTAACTTATTTCCATTGGAGTCCTTAATCTTGTCCCCCAGGATGCGACCCACACCAGTCGACTAACACCCAGGTACCTATTTGCTGCTAGGTGAACAGGACAACAGGTGTAAGGAAACGTGTCGAAATGTTTCCACCCGCCGGGAATCGAACCCGGGCCCTCCGTGTGTGAAGCGGGAGCTTTAGCCACCAGGCCACCGGGCCGGGAAGATACTAGAGTGGGAGAGTAAATGGCAGATGCTTTCTGCCACTGCCAGCATCACCATCACTTGCCATATTTTGGCCTGTTTTATTCATTCTAGAGTATGTATCATGTTTCTGTTATTAATATTGTTTATGTCATATTAGATGAAATGTGATAGATAACTAAGCCGTACAGTTGATATTAGCATTATTTTGTCATGCCCCCTGAGAGGCTGCAACAAATTAATTGCCTGCAATTAATTTAAATGAGGAAAATTGACTCAGCATACGAACAACTCAGGATACGAACAAGGTCACAGAACGGATTAAATTCGTAAGCCGAGGTTCCACTGTATATATATTATAGAAACCAGAAGGAAGAAAGGAAAGACTGAAGGACGAAAGAAAGAAAGAAAAAGAAGGAAAGGTAGGAAGGAAGGAATGATGACACGTGACCATTTACCTAGGATAACTACTTAACACAACTGCCTGCTACTACTTTGAAGAAAACTGCTCACATGAGGTGTTTTGTCTGTGCACATACAAAAAACTCCCACAACAACACACACTCGTTTTATGTGTAAGGAGTGTAAATCACCATTGTGTATGAAACCATGTTTCAAAGAGTTCCACAAGCTGCAGCACTTCTAGGAACATGTCCAGTGACTGGACATTTGTACATACAGTGGAATCTCTACTTACGAGTTTAATCCTTTCCGTGACCTTGCTTGCATCTGCATTTGCTCATTTGCAGAGTCAAATTTCCTCATTTAAATTAATTAAAATGGAATTAATTTGTTCCAGTAGAATTCCAGGCACTATAAAGTACTTCAATAATTTCCCTAATATCAACTCTATAGCTTATTCATCTATCACAATTCATCTAATATGACATAATAAACAATATTAATACCATAGAAACATGATGTATATACTACTAGAATGAATAAAATACATGTCATTACGTATGTGGCTAATGGTGGTGACAGCAGCCATTGTTGTTGGGGTTTATAGGGTCACCAAAGTGGCTATTCCTGCTCCTGACTACTTGTGTAGAGAACCTAGGATAACCCAAAACAGTCAGACAGTGCAACTTATAATTGCTACACATTGTCACTGACTCCTTCTGCTTTAGTATTTTACATATCATAAAGTAGTACGCTGGTACTGCCTGACCAAGTCCTTAACCCTCCACCTAGTTTGTTTATCTATGATTTCCTGCTTTAATTCCATGGACATCATCCTCTTATTCTTCTCAGCACTGTGCTTTGCACTTGCTTTCTTAGGACCCATGGTTAGAAACAAGAAATTTTGCAAAATAACTGCACAAAATGTAAGAAACACGAGAATTCCCTCCACTGCGAGTGGAGTGAACTGTCATCTCATGGTGTCATTCGGAAACTCGCTTCAAGTATAGGGTACAACAAGGTCTGCCAAAGCTGCTTCATGTTGTCTGCCACTGCTACCTCATGTCTGCCACTGCTACTTCATGATGTCTGCCACTGCTGCTTCATGTTGTCTGTCACTGCTACCTCATGATGTCTGCTCCCACTTTTGCTAGCATGTTGAAGAGCTTTCCAATATGTGAAGGTTGAGGGGCAGTGCCAATCATACAGATATTGGACATTGACGTCATTTGTTTACTCTTGAACATGGCCAAAGAATCAAACATTTCTGCTACTTTGAGCTCAATTTCAAGGTACTTTTTGTTGTGAAATCAATCAAAATCATATCTATTTCTGTAGTATATCTTCCATTCTATCAAATGAGACCAAAAAATGAGAATACAACCATAAAAAACATACAAAAATGTACCGCTAAGGGAGGCTGATGGCTGAGAAGTGAACTCCATTATTTATGGTCCGATTTCTTTCATTTTTGGTGTACATTCAGAAGCAGCTTTCCATCATACATTGCCCAAGTTTCAATAAAATAATCCAACAAACAACTGAGATCCAATTCTCTAGATCAAGAGCAGGAGCCCCTCACCAGCATCAAGGAACCTCCCTTGAGGCCTGCTCGCATCTGGAAATTTCGCTCACGTCTGGAAGCAAAAAATCAACCGAGTGACTGCTCGTATCTGGAAAATTCGCACGTGGATGCACTCATAAGTAGAGGTTCCACTGTATATTATAGAACAATAGTAATAAATATTTTTTATATTGTTTGTGTAAACAAGTTTTGTTAACAATATATTGATAATTATGTTTGTGCTCTTATTGTGTTGTATATGACGAGTGTACACCTACCATCTGACTTACAACCTGCTCGACATACGACCACTCAACTTAGGACCGTGTTTTTTATGCCAAATTTCTGGGAAATAAACAACTGTTTGTGTTGCAGTGTTTATCCTAAACCTTACAGTATAAAATACAGTACTAACAGCATAAAAAGTAAAGTAAAACATGAAATACCAAAATAAAACAATAAAATAGTCATTACAAAAATGTGACGTTGATATTCAGTAGTAAAGTTCGACTTACGTCCATTTCGACTTACGACAGGTTTCTCCGACCAGTTTCTCGTAACCGAACTCGGTCGTAAGTCGGATGGTACCTGTACATATATATGTACATTGCACTTTACTTTGGTCTCACAGGCCATTTAAGTTACATGAAAAAATAAAGTAGTGGGAAAAAAACAAAAAACCTTGAATGGGAGTAAAAAAAAAAGTTACTGGGTGAGCAGCATTCACCGCTGTTGCCATATGCAGCTCATTTTCTGCCAACTTTATGCCTCTATATCTCGGTAAGTACTGATCTCAAAATTTTTTTTAGGCTTAAAACTCTCGGCAAATTAATCCTAACATTTTGCTAAGAAAAAATAATTTTTTTATTTTTTGAATATTTTTCAACATAGGAAGACGGTTTCAGAAATGGGCTTGCAACAGTCAGAGGGTTAAATAATAATTCTTTTTAATTTCTGATGGTTGTGCAACTTACTGTGTAATACTTCCTATTTTTGATTCATTCCTTCATTGCACCATTGTGTCTAGTGCAACGTGCGACACGATCATTTTCATGTTCTTGGGGATGGTGCTTGTGAGCGACGACCATGTCTGGCACACTGGTTTTGTCCTCTGGAGTATCGTATTGTGTTTCATCTATAGATTTATTGGTGAGTAAGGATGGACAGTAGTTTAAATCAAAGTGAGAAATTTTTTTTTTTTCCATTACTAACTATAGCACCCAGAAAACTTCATTGCTGCTTTGAATATATAAAGAGATATTCTTCATATTCTGATGTGTGATATTTTCCAAAAGTTAGAGCAAATATTTTTTTATTCCCTTTGCAGGCTATAGTACCCAGAGAACTTTGTTGTTGATATTGTTCTGATATGATATTTTCCGCTAGTAGTAATATTTTGGGCAATATTAATGCATTCTCTTATTATTAGAGCTTTATCAAAGCATTTTCTATTTCTCTTTAGTATCTAACTAAAACCTAATAATAATCTGTTGGTTCCAGAAATGCTTTCTTAATTTTCCAATATTTTCCATACCTACTTAAAGCCTAATAATACCTAACTAAACCCTAATAATCTATTTAATCAAGATTTTTTTTTTTTTTAATTTTCCACCTTTTTCCAGTGGTGTTCGTGCTAACAGGAATAATGAACAACTACCGTGTGAAAAAGATTGGTAAAGAAGAGCAGTTCATCACTGCATATGGTGGCCTCCGGGGGGCTGTAGCATTCTCCTTGGTGAACATGCTGGACAAGAAATTAAAGCCTCGCAAAATATTTGTTACAACTACATTAGTTGTTATTCTTGCCACTATCTTCCTCCAGGTATTTACAAAAGCTTGAGTATATGATTGACAAGACAGACAGACAGAGAGAGTGTGAGAAAAGCAGCTTTACCAATGCATTACTAGGAGGTGCTAATGGCTTTTTGTGTACTTACTAAATGTAGGAAATTTAGAGAAACCAGTTAGTTGGAGTTGAGTCCTGGGGGTGGGAAGTACAATGCCTGCTCTGTAAAGGAGGGATTTGAGATACATATTGGCTGTTTGGAGTCACATCACAACTGTCGTATCTGGGCACCTCTGCAAAGACAAATATTGTGTGAATGACGGTGAAAGTATTGAATTATGGTGAAAGTGTTTTTCTCTGTTGGGTCACCCTGCCTCAGTGGGAGATGGCCGTTGTGTTGAAAAAATATATAAACGTATATGCATATATAGTGTGACCTAAGTGTAAGTAAAAGTAGCAAGATATACTTATTATCTTGTGGTTTAAGAGACATCTAAGCCAGCTTGATGCTCTCCCAGGTCCCATACAAGCATGAGGCCTATGCTACAGCTGCAGATTCAGCCTTACCCCATCTCTGATATCTCAGGGCTTCCTTTTGATAACCAAGAGATTCAAACAGAAATAACCTTACATCACAACAGAGGCCATAAGCATTAGGCCTGGTAGGCTACATCAGTAATGAATGTTTCCATAGAACAGAAGTTAATAAACACCTTTCTCTAAATCTAGTGTTATATTTATAACCTTAATTTTTAACAAGGTGGACTGGTAAACCAACGAAAGGACTTGGCCAGATGACTGAAAGCTCTAGTGGTAGGCCATCAACTGACTAAGACCTCCTTCAGGTCACAATTGCTCTATTTCCTGATAAATCTTACCTAACCTAACCTTCCTCTTCCTCAGCTACATGAACTATCATGTAAATAGACCACTTGTTTTAGGCAGTATACAGTGGACCCTTGGTTATCGGCCATAATCCATTCCAGAAGGAGGCAGCTCTGATGAAAACTCACACTCGCACGAGCTTTTAAATCTCTGCACAAAATTCAATTTAAACCAGCAAATAATAAGCCAATAGAAGGGAAATACACTAGACCTCATCTTCCTAACAATGATGACTGATAAGAAGTGTCCCCATATAAAAATAAAAACTCAATCACAACATAATTGAGGTTCAGACATGTATGCGCGACCCCCCAGACCGACAAAATAATTTTCACGGCGAGCATTCACCAAATTCAACTTCAAAAACAAAAAAATAAATTGGGGGCCCAAATAAACCAATCCTAAAACCCATATAAGCTGGGAAGATATACTAAGCAACACAAACCCCAACTTATGCTTAGAAACGATTAACTTGGTGGCACTCGATGTATGCACAAGACTTATTCCTCTAAGAAAAAGGAGGAGTAGATGTAAAATAGAAAGAGACAGGCGCTCCCTTACAGGCGAGGGAAAAGAATAACAGAGGGGCTAAAAGAGGTCAATAATCTGAAATCCCGTAGGGAACACTGGTCAGAGAAATAGCAAACATCGAACTTAAGCTAAAGGAATCTTATAGGAGCAGGAATCGCGGGAAGAACTAAAAGCAATAAATGAAATCGAAAGAAACCAAAGTATTTCTTCTCCAAATGCCAAATCAAAGTCGAGAACAACGTCCAGAAAGGGGGCCCTTACTTAAAACCAAGATGGGTCCTACACAGATGACAGCAAGGAAATGAGTGAGCTACTCAAGTCCCAATATGACTCAGTTTTTAGCAACCACTAACCAACTGAGAGTCGAAGATAAAAAATGAATTTTTTATGAGAGAGCCACAGAATTTGGTTAACACAAGCCTATCTGATGTTATCCTGACCCAAATGACTTCGAACAGGCGATAAATGACATGCCCATGCACTCTGGCCCCAGGGCCAACCATGGAACTCTGTGTTTTCCATCAAGAACTGAAAGAAGCCCCTATCATGAGCCTTTACCATCCTATGGAGAGGAGCATGGACACAGGGGTCGTCCCACAGTTACTAAAAACAACAGACATAGCCCCACTCCCACAAAGGGGGCAGTAAAGCAACAGCAAAGAACTACAGACCGATAGCACTAACAATCCCAAAATCATAAAAATCTTTGAAAGAGTCCTAAAAGCAAGATCACCACCCATCTAGAAACCCATCATTACACAACCCAGGCAACATGGGTTTAGAACGGGTCGCTCCTCTGTCTCAACTATTGGATCACTACGACAAGGTCCTAGATGCACTAGAAGACAAAAAGAATGCAGATGTAATATATACAAAACTTTGCAAAAGCCTTCGACAAGTGTGACCATGGCGTAATAGCGCACAAAATGCGTGCTAAAGGAAAACAGGAAAAAATCGGTCGATGGATCTATAATTTCCTCACTAACAGAACACAGAGAGTAGTAGTCAACAGAGTAAAGTCCGAGGCAGGCACGGTGAAAACTCTGTTTTCCCCAAGGCACAGTACTCGCTCCCATCTTGTTCCTCATCCTCATATCTGACCTAGACAAGGATGTCAACCACAGCACCGTGTCTTCCCTTTTCAGAAAGACACCCGAATCTGCATGACATGTCTTCCATTGCAGACACTGCAAGGCTCCAGCAGACATCAACCAAAAACTTTCAGTGGGCTGCAGAAAACAATATGAAGTTCAAAAGATGAGAAATTTCAATTCTCAGATATGGTAAACACGAGGAAATTAAATCTTCATCAGAATACAAAACAAATTCTGGCCACAAAATAGAGCGAAACACCAACGTCAAAGACCTGGGGGTGATCATGTCAGAGGGTCTCACCTTCAAGGACCATAACACTGTATCGATCGCATCTGCTAGAAAAATGACAGGATGGATAATGAGAACCTTCAAAACGAGGGATGCCAAGCCCATGATGACACTCTTCAGGTCACTTGTTCTATCTAGGCTGGAATATTGCTGCAACACTAACAGCACCTTTCAAGGCAGGTGAAATTGCTGACCTAGAAAATGTACAGAGAACCTTCACGGCGAGCATAACGGAGATAAAACACCTCAATTACTGGGAGCGCTTGAGGTTCCTGAACCTGTATTCCCTGGAATGCAGGCGGGAGAGATACATGATTATATACACCTGGAAAATCCTAGAGGGACTAGTACCGAACTTGCAACACGAAAATCACTCACTAACGAAAGCAAAAGACGTGGCAGACGATGCAATATCCCCCCAATGAAAAGCAGGGGTGTCACTAGCACGTTAAGAGACCATACAATAAGTGTCAGGGGCCCCAGACTGTTCAACTGCCTCCCAGCATACATAAGGGGGATTACCAACAGACCCCTGGCAGTCTTCAAGCTGGCACTGGACAAGCACCTAAAGTCGGTTCCTGATCAGCCGGGCTGTGGTTCGTACATTGGTTTGCGTGCAGCCAGCAGTAACAGCCTGGTTGATCAGGCTCTGATCCACCAGGAGGCCTGGTCACAGACCGGGCCGTGGGGGCGTTGACCCCCGGGACTCTCTCCAGGTAAACTCCAGGAAAACCGAAATAATATTTCCCATAAGAATTAATGTAAAGCCAATTAATCCATTTCATACATCCAAAAATATTTTATTATTATTATCACACTGGCCGATTCCCACCAAGGCAGGGTGGCCCGAAAAAGAAAAACTTTCACCATCATTCGCTCCATCACTGTCTTGCCAGAAGGGTGCTTTACACTACAGTTTTTAAACTGCAACATTAACACCCCTCCTTCAGAGTGCAGGCACTGTACTTCCCATCTCCAGGACTCAAGTCCGGCCTGCCGGTTTCCCTGAATCCCTTCATAAATGTTACTTTGCTCACACTCCAACAGCACGTCAAGTATTAAAAACCATTTGTCTCCATTCACTCCTATCAAACACGCTCACGCATGCCTGCTGGAAGTCCAAGTCCCTCGCACACACAAAACCTCCTTTACCCCCTCCCTCCAACCCTTCCTAGGCCGACCCCTACCCCGCCTTCCTTCCACTACAGACTGATACACTCTTGAAGTCATTCTGTTTCGCTCCATCTCTCTACATGTCCGAACCACCTCAACAACCCTTCCTCAGCCCTCTGGACAACAGTTTTGGTAATCCCGCACCTCCTCCTAACTTCCAAACTAACGAATTCTCTGCATTATATTCACACCACACATTGCCTCAGACATGACATCTCCACTGCCTCCAGCCTTCTCCTCGCTGCAACATTCATCACCCACGCTTCACACCCATATAAGAGCGTTGGTAAACTATAACTCTCATACATTCCCCTCTTTGCCTCCAAGGACAAAGTTCTTTGTCTCCACAGACTCCTAAGTGCACCACTCACTCTTTTTCCCTCATCAATTCTATGATTCACCTCATCTTTCATAGACCCATCCGCTGACACGTCCACTCCCAAATATCTGAATACGTTCACACTCCTCCATACTCTCTCCCTCCAATCTGATATTCAATCTTCATCACCTAATCTTTTTGTTATCCTCATAACCTTACTCTTTCCTGTATTCACCTTTAATTTTCTTCTTTTGCACACCCTAACCAAATTCATCCACCAATCTCTGCAACTTCTCTTCAGAATCTCCCAAGAGCACAGTGTCATCAGCAAAGAGCAGCTGTGACAACTCTCACTTTGTGTGTGATTCTTTATCTTTTAACTCTACGCCTCTTGCCAAGACCCTCGCATTTACTTCTCTTACAACCCCATCTATAAATATATTAAACAACCACGTGACATCACACATCCTTGTCTAAGGCCTACTTTTTACTGGGAAAAAATTTCCCTCTTTCCTACATACTCTAACTTGAGCCTCACTATCCTCGTAAAAACTCTTCACTGCTTTCAGTAACCTACCTCCTACACCATACACTTGCAACATCTGCCACATTGCCCCCCTATCCACCCTGTCATACGCCTTTTCCAAATCCATAAATGCCACAAAGACCTCTTTAGCCTTATCTAAATACTGTTCACTTATATGTTTCACTGTAAACACCTGGTCCACACACCCCCTACCTTTCC